TTAAATCAAATAATATAGTTACTTTAAATAATAATTAAAAATAACAGATTATACATACCTCTTTTTTGGCCTTAATGTCGATCTTCAGCCTGAACTCTTTAATGTTGTTGTGCACCAACCCCGTGCCTTCAATTTTATACCTCCATCTGTATATCAATCAAACCAAAATATGAACATTTTGTTCAATAATTTTAATCAAAATAAATATTTTCTAATTAATATTTTATATTAAAATAGAGGATTCATATTACCTTCCTGCAAGTGGAAAGTCAACCGCAGTCCGACTAATCGATGTCAAAAATGGAAGTCTATGCCAAGCCCATGATTGTAGCAGCAACAGATATCCACCGATTTCTGTTGTATTATTATCATTCACGACAAATGACGCCTTGCACATCTCACGATACAATATTGCCGAGCCCCAGCTATATTGCCTACTATTTTCAACATTTGTTAAAAAAAAGAAGATACTGAGTGTGAACATAACTACCGAATTTATCAGGCATCAAAATTTCTCCAATCAACTGTAATATATATGCTCGTGTTACATATATAATTTCATGCTTCGTACTATTTGGTTGAAGCTGAAATTCATTCTTCAACCATGACAACCTCACACACCACCCTCTACACTCTGGTGGTACGGGCGCTTTCCCAAGAAATAAGCTGCAAAGTTGTGCCACATTATTAAACTCATGTGACATTGCCACCGGCATCCCATTAGTTTGGACCCTGAGTTACATTGCCACATCCTCCAGAGTTATCGTGCATTCGCCACACGGCAAATGAAACGTGTGCGTTTCTGGTCTCCAACGTTCAATCAACGCACTTATCAAACCTGGGACCAACTTGTAATCTCGCACAAATGTTACATACCAAAATCCAACCTCTTGCAATTTTTCTTCTATCAATGTGTGTGGCTTGGGCACTTTATGTAGCCGAAGACGAAGGACTCGATGCTCGTCCTCCTACAATTAAATAATGCAAAAAATTTATCACAATCATCATAAAATAATATTCAAATATTTATTAATTATAATTCATTAAACAAATATTTTATTCACCATTATTCCCAAATGACTTAAAATATGTTCATTGTCAAGTCTTAGCAGTGGAATTTAGTCAGCCATTGGAATGAATCTGTAAAAAAATTAAACTCAGTATTTAAAAAATCATTTAATATAATCTAATGTTAAGTAAGTAAGTAACTAACTAACTAACTAATTTACAACACAACAAAAAAATTTAATATAATAACTTATAATATAATAAACTTATAAAGTAACAAACTAATTTTTTTAAAATATAACTTAAACGTGAATTTTCCCTTAAACAACTAATAAATTATTCTTTAATATAACTTCAACTAATAAACTATTCTTTAATATAAATTAAACTAATAAATGATTTTTTAATTATAATCTACTACTAAAAAAACTAATTAACTAAATTTTTTATATAATATGAATTCAACAAATCATATGGCAACTTAACTATATAACTAACACAAACTAATTACATATTTTTTATATATAACTAACTACTAACAAACTAACTAATTAAGTAAATGTTTTACCCTAACCCTAAACTAACCCTAACCCTAAACTAACAAACTAATAATTTAAAATAATAAACTAATTTAAATTAAATAAAATGAAAATTTACCTCGATGTTTGCTTGCCGGACTCCATTTCTTCTTCTTCCTCTTATTCCTTTCCTTTCTCTCGACACTCTTCTCCCTTTCTTTCTTATTCTTCCTTAACCCCATATCATACCCCCTATATATTAAAGGGTCGGCTTCCATGCACCAATAATTGAAGAATCACGAGCCGTTGATTCTCGTGGATTGCAGTAATAATTGATGCATGAAGCAGCGAAAATTATGCTGCAATAATGCAGCGAATAAAGGTGCATGGAGAAACAGGGAGCAGCGGGAGCAGGCGAGCATGCAGTGGGGAGCAGGGAAGCATGCAACAGGGAGCAGGGCGCAGGACAAGGTCGCCCTGCGTGCATGGTGACCTACCATGTCGCCTGGCGTACATGGCGACCTACAATGTCGCCCAGCGTGTATGGCGACCTACCCTTGCTCAAATGCCCTCAGATGCCTCGCATAGCTCGCTCGAATGACCTCAGTCAGATGCGTTTGGATGCCCTCGGATGCTCTCGCATAGCTCGTTCAGATGGCCTCGAATGCCCAGCGTATTGGGACATGCATGGCACATGCAAAATCTCTTGTAGCTCGCCGGGAAGAAATGACGAACTAGTAGGTCGCCCGGATAACATGGCGACCTACGGCCAATACTGTAAATTTCACTCTATTTAAATAATTAATCTAAGGAGTGTATTATCTCGTTATTTAATTTATTCAAGAAAATTATCTCAAAAGTTTTGCTTGTTAGAAGTAACCTTGTTAGTTAATTTTTATGTCAATCACTTAATTTTTTTTCCTTTTTAAGTCAATCAAATCTACTGTCCTTCTTGTGACATTTTTCCTCCTCCCACAACCAGTTAGCAACAAACAACAATAAATGAACAAATAAAATTCACCATTTGCGTACTTGCCATCACCGTCACATTCTAATCCACCTTGAACGGCGTGTCAAAGACAAGCAGTGACGAGAAAGAGAGAGAGATCAAAATTGTATCCCCTGGTTAAAGATTAGAAACATATATATATATATATTGCATGAAACCCTAAAGTGACCGAAATCTTTATCCGATGTCGGAGTCCGGTAAAGGGTTTTCCTCTTCTGAGAAAATGTCATGTGAATGTGGGGTTTCATGGTCTTCTTTTTGACAAAATTGAAAAAATGAAAAGAAATGAAGGCAAAGCAAGTACATTTTTTTAGCACTCAAAGGTGCAATCCATGAAAATAAAGTGGTTCATGCATCTTGCTTGAACTATCCCATCAATTGAAGCCATTGAATTGGTGGGCCTAAACTCATGACCAAGCTGATCTTTTACACGTGTATTTGGCTTGAATCGGATGGCTGATAGGGTCAGCGATTAGGGTTAGTCCCCACACGATGAACGGTCAGTATCCAAGATCACATACCCAATCATAAAAATTGAGGGTTTTCCCTATCATCTTTGCATGAATTTTAAAATGGAAAAAATGGCAATAAGTTGTTATATAAAGGCATTTCCACTTCCTTGTTGGATATTATTGATGGGTACTTTTAATCTCATCTCCTTATCTCTGCACATTTCTCTGATTAAAAACCTTAATTCTTTATATCTTGAGCTTCCTTTCAGCTCCTCTTCCATCCCTCTACCATCCAGTTCTTCAGAATTATTATCATTTCCAACTTTCCCATCTATTTTTTTCTCTAAACGCACACGCAATCACAGAGAGGAAGAAGTTTAGGATTAGATTCAAGGGATGTTGAGATGATGAAATCATCAACAGAAGATCACATGGATATGATGACAATGATGATGCAAATGGAAGAAATTTCAGTGAGCCTACTTTTCATACCTCTCCCACATTATTGCCACCTGAAATCCACTTCTTCAATGGTACTTCAAGGTCCACCATCCTACCCATTTACCCAAACCCGAATACATTGATAAACCTGCCTTCCTCTTTATCATTCAATGGCAATGGCAATGGCGATAACCTTGTTCAAGAACCCATGACACCACCTCTTCAACCCGACAATATGGGAAGCAGCAACAAGTTCAAATACCCAACTCCTTTCAACAATGCAAATTCATATTCCTCTTCGGTAGATAAGAAAAACTCCATGGCAATAATGAGGGAGATGATTTTTCGTATAGCAGCGATGCAGCCTATTCATATAGACCCAGAATCCATTAAACCTCCAAAGAGAAGAAACATTAAGATCTCCAAGGATCCCCAGAGCGTGGCCTCCAGGCATAGAAGAGAACGGATAAGCGAGAGGATAAGGATTCTGCAGAGACTTGTAACTGAAGGCACCAAAATAGATACGGCGTCGATGTTAGACGAGGCTATTCATTATGTCAAATTCTTGAAGAGACAAGTGCAATCTTTGGATCAAGCTGCTGTTGACAGGCCGACGGGTGCTGGGATTCCAAGTGCAACAATGGCTGATATGGGCTACTCTTCTTTGGTCAAACCTTGCCAGCCATCTCATCATCATCAAGCTGTGGGCAGTATGCAGATCCTTAGATAAGAGTCTAGGTTTTTGTTGATTCCTGTAATGGGTGCTGTCTTTGGTTATTATTATTTCCTCATAGAATTTATTATACGCTTTCATTATCAGTTTAAACTTCTGATAATATTCTCTATATCTTTATTTCTTGAAGTTTTCCCTGCGATTGGGAACTCTCACCACCGTAGACACATATTTTAGTCCGACCCTTTTGCATATATTATTATCATATTACATTTATATTTATATGGTATAGCATACACTTTATATTGTGTAGTACATATGATATTACACTATATAATATTTATATTAAATAATATTATATTTTATAATATTAAAACTTTACCTTGCCACTAATAACACACACTACTCCACTAAACTCACATGACACCATAAATCAAGGGGAAGTGGGGGTTCGGTTTCCAGCAAATAAAAGGGGAAGAAATGGACAATGGGAGGCCACCATTTTTTGGCTTTATTAATGGATGCATATCTCCGTTTCTTTTTTTTTCCCAGGATGGAGGGGGAATGAAAGTAAACGTTTGCTGCCAATAAACAAAAGAAAAAGAGAGGAGAGAGAGAGGGGGGTCAAAAAGAGTAGTCGAGTCGAGGGGGGATAGCAGGAGACCCTTCTTCTCTCCCATCTCTTTTTGGATTTCCTCTTCCTTTAAAAACCCAGACCCTGAAACATTCCCATGGCCTATCGTCACCCCAAAGCTTCCACTTTTGACATTCTTTTCTCAACCTTTGTCCTCCCAAACTAACCAACATGTATCGTTTTGCTTCAAGCCTCGCTTCCAAAGATAGGGTTGCTAGGAAAACTACACATCAGATTGGTAGTAGACTGAGTTGGAATAGGAACTATGCAGGAAAAAGATATTAAATTTGGGGTTGAAGCTCGAGCTTTGATGCTTAAAGGTGTCGAAGAGCTTGCTGATGCTGTTAGAGTAACCATGGGTCCTAAGGGATGGAATGTGGTTATTGAACAAAGATATGGTGCCCCCAAAGTAACTAAAGATGGTGTAACTGTTGCAAAGAGCATTGAATTCAAAGACAAAGTCAAGAACGTTGGTGCGAGTCTTGTGAAACAAGTAGCAAACGCCACTAACGATGAAGCGGGTGATGGGACTACCTGTGCAGCCGTGCTTACACGAGTAATATTCACAAAAGGGTGCAAACCAGTTGCTGCAGAAATGAATGGTGGACATGCGAGATTTTCTGGTATTGTCTGCAGAAATTACTCAAAAAGGCGTATTACATATATCGGTAAATAGGATAAATGTCATCCTTCTAAAAAACCCGATGCAGTTTTAGTTACCGGGTCCCATCATGCTTTTGCTTTTATCTTTGCTATTTATTTGCTAGTTTTGATTTAAACATGTATGTTTTGTTTTGTTTTATTCCGGTCACTTGTTATATTAATTGTTTGTTTTGAATTGTTATTTATTCGTCCTTGTTTCTGATTTATTTTATTTTAGCCCTTAATATTATTTATGATTTATTTCTATTTTTAGTGTTTTATTTGTTCAATATCCTCGATTGATACCTTAATTATTGTTGATCGAGTTGTTTGGACTTTCAAGTTACCATCGATATCATTTTGGTCCTTTAAATCACTAAGTGTTTAAGCATTTAATATTTTATTTTAGTATCTAACATCTTTTTGACTTCTTTAGTAGTAATTTCAATCGATAAAAGGTAAGTAATTCAAATCGGATTTTTAAATTTTAATTTCAATTATTATTTTTTGCAATTAAAGACAACCGACAAATTAATTGGTACCGAAAGGGCGATTCAAGGGTGCTAATCCTTCCTTGACTGTAACCGACTCTCAAACCCGACACGTTTCTGGTAAAACGCAGATCAGGTAAGATGGTATCTGACCCACCTAAATTCGTTTTAAAATGGTCGGTGGCGACTCCTAATATTTTATTTCAAGTCGAAGCCCAATTTCGGGGCCCAGCCGAAAGACGATTCCGACAGCTTGGCGACTCTGCTATGGACAAGTAAGTGAGTCAGGTCAGAGTTAATTTTCGGTTGTCTTTTTATGCGAAAATAACGAATTTTAATTTATTTATTCGATTCAAATTATTTACCTTTGATCATTTTTCAAGTAAATAGTTATACTGACGTTTTTTTTCCAATGATTTCAGATTTTCAAAATTTTCATCTCAGGCTCTATACCCGAGCTCCGAATCCTATTTAACTGGGGGTGAAAGCGACGCCTTCGTGTAAATTTATTCACCGTGCGGGCCTAGCAAGTAGCCTTCGGGATCCATATACCTTATGTCTTCGTGTGAATTTATTCTCCGTATGGGCATAAGGGAATGTATCCTCTTGAGTTTAACTTAGTTCACACAAGCTTGTAACGGGCTTAGGACTAAGGGTCTGGCAAGCCCAAGGGGGCACCAGCAAGGAGAGCTCGGGTACCTTTTTAAAACCTAAACTGGGAGATTATAGGGAATTAGAGCCCACACCAAAACCTCATTCCAAACCCTAGGTTGCTTTATTTCCTGCTTTATTTTCTGTTCAAAGCATGCAAACTAGACAAATATGGGTTAGGATTTGTTTGAAATTAGCATGCGGGATAGAGATCATGTCCAGGTAGGAATTGAAGCATGTAGGGTAAATATCATATGGGGTAGGATTTTTCATTTTTATTATTGTTTTGATTTACCTCACTATTTTTTTTATTTTTTGTCCTCTTTCATTTTGTTCTCATCATTCGCATCATTTAAAAGAGGTGTTGATCCACCAAAAATGTGTTTGTTAAACATGAATAATCTGCATTAATGGACAAAGGGGTTGTAATACAAGAGATGAAAATACAGAGGATAGTCTACAAAGCGACTATGTGTCATTCAATCCAGAAGACGTGGTGCCCACAATTGAAAAGTATATCACTCTGCTGCATTATAAAGGACTCAGAATGAACTGGGTCCATATCAAGCACAATGAAAGTCTATCTTTGAAGAATTGACTACAGAGGTTGCATGGGCAAGATGAAGGTTACTGATCTTGGGAATCCCTTCAAAGACAAAAATGGCAAAATGATAGCTGAAATTGGAGACCATTGCTGACGAATTCAAGAAACAGACAAATGAACTTCACATAGTTCATATCAATTGAGGGCTCCAATGACGTATTCGTTGGGAACATTTGCACTGTTCATCAAGAGAAGCCAGAGCGGTTCGACAGGTTATTCAACCGGTGACAGACGTAGACAGAAGACTAGTCAACATGTCAGAAGCTGTCAGGTTATTTTTGTCTCTTAAAAGATAAAACACTTTTGTCCCCAATGAGGATTATTTATAATAACAGATATATTTTGGATCAATGCCTCGAACATTACATGCATCATGCATTCCTGTATATTTCGCATTATTTTTCTTTTTTATTACATTCACATGTTTCATAAAAAATGGGAATATTTTGATTATATTCCCAGGACCTAGAAAGAGCTTTACCAGTAACTTTTTTACACCCATTTAGTGTCACCATACCCGATGGAACCCATGAAGTCCCCATACCCCAAGTGGTATGACGAGAATGCTCATTGTGAATATCACGACGGTGTCTCAGGGCACACAATTGAGAATTGTTACGCATTCAAGAGAGTCGAGCAGAAGATACGTAACCAGAATTGGATCGACTTCAACAACTTGGGGGCATCCAAGTGAGGAAGATCATTTCATCATTTGAGGCATTCTGTTTGAATTTGTTTTTTCATTTTTTCTCAAGTTTTTGTAAGGACTTTTAAATAAATTTATGTTACTTTAAAGATGTTAAGAAATGAATCATATTTGCAAACTTACAATTCTTTGAATATCATTTGAATTAAGAAACTCTGTAAATGGTTCAAAGTTACAGATCTTTGACGAAGTAACATGATTTAAAATAAGGACTTTGACCTTACCCAGAATATACACTCAAACACCGTACCCTGCTCTTGCAATTAACCAATGTAACCTTTTCTTTTCATAAGGTGCGGACAACACTGGGCATCATTTGCATATGACAATTACTATACTTTTCGTTTAAGACGTTCAATGATGATCATTATCTTTACAGATGGAATAGTCGAGTAGGTAAATCTAGTTTAGGTCGGTTGCTTGGAAATTGAACTCTAAAAATGAGATTCCTTGACTTTTAACAACACCTAGACTATAATAGGTTCTTCTTGACAAACTTAAGAAATTAAATCCGTAAAGCTGAGCTATTCCAGTAAGGCAATTGGTTATAGAGGAAACTTGAAAGCCCTAGCCTTATGAGTAGATTACGTTCAAACCATGATATTGCTCGAACACTTGGCAATTCGGTGTTTGCTCCACTGCTATTGTCCAGCCGAAGACTTTGTGATGAGATGAACCCTTCAGTTAACTTGATAAAACTGATTATAATGTTAAGTTGTCTCTCTAAAGCAATTGGTTAAAAGTCTTGGCTTTATGGATTCAGCTAGCCAGATAACGGCAAATTAAATCAAATTTATCTAAGAAAAATATTTTCGATAATGATGGATTGAGGGAGTTAAGGAACACCTGTTATAGTCAACTTCACACGAGCACTCTGGAATTTCATTTTTAGACCGATATTTTTGCACTATCTTTGTTAGAGGAGCTTACGAGGCTTGAACAAATGGAAGATTTCAGAGGACTGAAATAAAAGGTCTAGTAATTGATCATGCTAGTTTCATCATTTTGTCCGCACCCAATTAAAATGCCAAACCAAAAAAAGAACGTTGCAATAACAAAAAATGACCTTTTTATGGTTGAAACCTTAGGTCAACCTGAAATCAACTCATCCATTTGAATATTTGTCAAAGAGCTATAACTCTGAAAGCATTAAAAAGAGTTATTCATTCATTTGATATACTTTGAACTCATGTTTACAATTTGATTCAATTGCGAAGAATATTTTACAGAATTTTTATCTTTTTCCCTCCTAAAACAAGAAAAAGGAGAAAAATATTTTTCAAACATGATAGTCTCAAATATGAAAGGTCTGTAAAGCCAAAGCTCGAGAAGCAAATGGGATACGATCGATTCCAAGGACCAGTTTGGCAGACAAAACACGGGACTCCAATCCAAGAGATAAAACATAACTCATTCATGTTGCATGTATCTTAGATATACTTAAGAGCATTACATTTATCATTTTTAGCACACATAATTTTTTACAGCTTTTAGGGTCAAATTTCAACTTCAAAATGAAAGATACTCGATTCAAAAGTGCATTCAGAAATCGATGGTGGTAGCTCAACTTCACAACGAAGGGGCGACTGACTGTCAACAAACAACTTTTCAGTTTTATTCAGAGTCAATTTCAACTTCACAGTGAATGATATTAGACTCGAGACAACACAAGCTCAACTTCACAGGGAATGGGCGACTGACTATCAACAAACAACTTTTCAGTTTCATTCAAAGTCAATTTCAATTTCACAGTGAAAGATATTATACTCGAGACAACACAAACTCAACTTCACAGCAAAGGGGAGACTGACTGTTGCAAAGAGCATTGAATTCAAAGACAAAGTCAAGAACGTTGGTGCGAGTCTTGTGAAACAAGTAGCAAATGCCACTAACGATGAAGCGGGTGATGGGACTACCTGTGCAACCGTGCTTACACGAGTAATATTCACAAATGGATGCATGTCAGTTGCTGCATAAATGAATGGTGGACATGCGATATTTTCTGGTATTGTCTGCAGAAATTACTCAAAAAGGTGTATTACCTATATCGATAAATAGGGTAAATGTCATCCTTCTAAAAAAACCCGATGCAGTTTTAGTTACCAGGTCCCATCATGCTTTTGCTTTTATTTTTGATATTTATTTGCTAGTTTCGATTTAAACATGCATGTTTTGTTTTGTTTTATTCCGGTCACTTGTTATATTAATTGTTTGTTTTGAATTGTTATCTATTCGTCCATGTTTCTGATTTATTTTCTTTTAGCCCTGAATATTATTTATGATTTATTTCTATTTTTAGTGTCTTATTTGTTCAATATCCTTGATTGACACCTTAATTATTGTTGATTGTGTTGTTTGGACTTTCAAGTTACCATCGATATCAATTTGGTCCTTTAAATCACTAAGTGTTTAAGCATTCAATATTTTATTTTAGTATCTAACATCTTTTTGACTTCTTCAGTAGTAATTTCAATCGATAAAAGGTAAGTAATTCAAATCGGATTTTTAAATTTTAATTTAAATTCTTAATTTTCGTAATTAAAGACAACCGACAAATTAATTGGTACCGAAAGG